GAAGAGGGATGAGGTCAGGGGTTCAGAGAGAGTGAGATCAAGAAGAGATCAAGGGTTGAGCACTGTGAGAATCAGGGATGTCGTTTGCATTTGCACCATGGACCATGCACAACAGTAGCAGAGGGTAGTAACTAGAAGGGTTGACTAGTTTCCTTTGCTTGATGTGGACTTTGGGACTGGACGAGATTTGCTTTGAGTTGACGCCGAGTCGGTTGGTTACAGTTGAAAGGAAATGGAAAAGGGTTTGGAGTTCAAGATGTGCTTCATGAACTGTGAGTGAAAAAGTTTGAGACATGCGGTGGAAGTGGAACAGTAGCCCAGGGATTGTATCTAGAAAGGGTTGCAACTAGCCTTCATTTCCATTTGCTGTGTGAAGCTTTTGGCACGCTGAATGTGACAGGTTTGTTTCCAGGAACCTTCGTTTGCTTGACCTGTCAGGTGACCACTTGAAACCTTGTGAGGTTTCAGGGTCCCCGTGATGACAGAAGCAGAGGCGAAGAGCTGGCCCAGTGCAGCTCTATGAAGCCCTGCTGTCTGAGGGGCTCTAAATCTTTGTTGTTTTGCTTGCTTGGTTGAAGCATGGTTGATTGGTTGATCTTGATTTGAACTTGCTTGAAGCTTGTTGTTCTTGATTCGTTGGCGTTTGATCGACCTGGAGACCAGTTTGGACCACAGGAGTTGAGATCTTAGTTGAGGCTCGAACCCTAGTTGCTCAGAGAAAACGAATTGAAGAGAAGAAGAAGACAGGAAGACCAGGAGAAGGTACGAGGTGACCCAAGAAGGGGTGTGAAAAGTGTGGGTAGCACGCCTGTACAGTGTGTGGATCACCTAGTACCTCTGTGTAGTGGAACTTTTTCGTTTTCTATCCTTGGGGTTGGAGCTGAGTAGGGATCTTCCTCCTTGGAGTGTGTTTGCTTTGACCACCTTAGCAGGACTAAGTGGAATGTGACCAGAAGTGGCTAGGAGCATGTCTAGAGAAGCCCTAAGTATAGAGCTGTAGTGCTTGAGATGAGCTGTGTAAAGCCTAGCTTTGCTTGAGAGTGTTTGGAGATGCTTTCTTGTACTTTTAGTATGTTTTGGACGACTGTGACCAGTCAGACCTCTTCAGAGAAGAGAAGGACGAACAGACATACAGTCAAACCGACTGTTATGTTTGGCTCAAGAGCGGGATTCAGAAAAGGGTCGCACTCGCTTCCGTGTTTTCACAGGCTGACCATCGGAACTGAGCAGGTCGAGGTCATCAGAGGCCAAGCTGCCAGCTTGCTCGCCAGTGGCCGGGGGAGCCGAAGTAGTGGCTGCAGGGCGCCAATAGCATCCTTCCTGTAGCATCCCTGGTGCCGGCGGCAGCAGCAGGGAGGAGTTCTCTCGATCTAGTATCGGTTCACTTCGCCATGCATCATAAAAGTAGATTTTATGCAGGGCTTCAAACTGGTACAGCCTTGCCTTGTTGGCTACATCACTTTTGCCAGGCGGGTAGCGAACAGTGCTACCGACCGTGAAACGTGAGCCACCTGCTTTGCTGACCGTATGAAGCAGACGCCAAGCTCCGGGATGACTTGTGTCTGAGACGATGAGCCAATCAGGGTTGGCAAGTCCATCTGCTGCATAGCCAAACAAAAGTCCGCTGCCATGAAGTGGATGGGTATGATTCAGGAACTGGTTTTGTTCGCCTTGCGAGAGACAACCTTGCTTTGTGAGAACCAGCCTGAGGCGTCTCACCTTCCCTTCATAATGTTCAGCAAGGCACAGGGGGGCTGGCCCCTCCCACAGGGGGTGTGGCTCGGTGGCCTTGAGAAAGGCGGCAGTCTCAGCTTGAACATCTAAATCGCCAATTTCAAAGGACCCCGCAACTTGGGCAGTGCCAGGCACTGTGTCGCTAGTGTGCAGGGTGCAAGCACCACGCAGAAGTGCAGCAATCACTTGTGCGGCACCCTCAAGACCGTGCATGTTGAGCGGGCACGCTAGAACCGTTAGGTCCGTGGCTCTGCTAAGGGCCACATTTGCTCTGGTGTAACATTGGATATTGGATGCCTATGAGGGGTTCGTATACCTCCTGCGCAACCCGCGCGCTGGTCGGAAGCATTACACTCCACTGATGGACACCTGACACGCCAGATCTGTCCGAGGCAAGGTTGGCTTGTTGGAACTGTAGCAATGCCCAGGCCTCGTGATGGCATATCCCAGGCCTGCAAGGAGGCCTTCTGGTGTGCGGAAGTCGACTTTTCCAAGATCTTTGTGGGCTGCTTGCAGTGCTGCTCCGACCGAAGAGGAGCTGGGGCAGTGCTCTTCTGTGTGCCATTGGCATCCCAGACGGCCACGGCTTGCTTCATCTGCGGCTTCAGTCAGCATGTCGAGGGGAACCTCTGTGCTGCTATGCAGGAGGTTGCATAGGACTGCTGGCAAGTCGCGTGGCATATACCAGCGATGTGCCGCTAGGAGTCCGATGGGGGCTTTAAGCAGGAGCGCTCTATGTTCTCTTAGGTTATCTGCCACCCCTCCAGGACTCTGTTTTGGATCACCAACGAGCAGTCGAAGGAAAGGCTGCCGTGGGATGGCCGGGACGAAAGCGGACTTAAGGTCCATGTCTTGCTGCGCTTCTTCCCCTACCAGAATGTCAACTTGTTCCATGTGTACCCTCAGCGCCGAGTGCATATGCGCCCTTTGTTCCCACACTAAGCCAGTGGTTGCAATGACAACTTTGGCCTTGGGGATAGCCCCTGAGCAGTACTGCATGGCGATGTCATACCTCGTGCTAGCTGCATTGGCCATGTGTTCTTCTCGACTTACAGCCCTTACAAAGAGTTTTGCTTGTTCATTGTCCAAGGCTAGCGACCTGAGGAGCTTAGTGATGGCGCGACCGGCCGGGTTTTCTTTATGGACCACTCCAATTTTGAGGTTGGTCGTTAAGGCTAACCAAACCAAAAGGAATGTGAGGGATCTCGTTTTCCCCGCACCGAAGACACCTGCAACAGCCAGCGTGGATCTTCCCGTTTGTAGGGCCGCCGCCAAGGAAAATGCTACCGACATGATATGGGCACTGTCAGTGCGGGCAGCTCTGCACAGCTTCATGCCTAGCACAATGGCTGATGGACAATGCCTTGGGGCATCACCCGTAATCAGCAGCGCAAACAAAGAGAAAAGGCTCTGCTGAAGTGCCTCAGCACCATCAAAATGATAGGCAACTGGACGCGAATAGGGTATCCCCAGTGCAGTGGTTTTGTGTTCTAGCAGCATGGCTGCCATTTGCAAAAGGTGGTCCGCTGAGGCCGTGTTGCCTACTTCAGCTAGGTTGAGGATTTGCAGCGACGTGGTTTGGGGAGAAAACCTCCTCATACAAGAGGGGAGGCCCCACTTGGCGTCAATGTTCATGCCGAGCTCACCTTGTGTTGGTAGTGGAGCAAACGCGTCTGGGACAGGAATCACGGCTATGACCCATGCTTTCGGACTGCTATGCCGGGCCGTTGACTCTTCTAGGGTTTCTTCCCCTCCTTGTTTAGACTTCTTTTTAGGTTGTGCCGTGTACTCTAGCAGGACTCCTAATAGGGCGAACGCCTCTGCATTTTCTCGCACCACGATGCGATAGACTTTACCCACTTGGCAACCAACATGGACTTTGTCTGACGGCATGCTGAACAACTGGCGATACGGCTGTTCGGTGGGCTCTTGCGCACAGAAGATGGACGCCCCTGAGTGGGCTGGGAAGGCAATCCGATATTCGTCCATGTCTCGCAGTCCTTGGGCGACTGGAGTCACTTGAACTATCGTATCCTAGCGACGGACGACGGGACTGGTCCAAAGGTGCGTGGCCAGTTGGGCTCCTTCGGCATAGGGGAGCTGTGGCAAGAACAGGGCAAGGATCACGAAGACTTCCCGAAAGGGGATGGGCCGCAGTAGATCTCTAGCGACTGCAGTGAGCCACTTGGTACATTCACTTTCCTGAGCACCCCTTACTCTGAAGTTGCGCAGGAGGAGAGCTTGCGCCTCTTCCATCGACGTGATTCCTTGGTCCGGCACACACTGATTGAGCAGCAAACAAATTTACATTCTAACTGCAGGTATCGTTTGTATTCCATGTAGGTTCGTTGCATTTAGCAGTGACTTTTCAGGATGCACTTAGAATACGACTATTTGAAGAAATCTGAAGTACTTTATATTCTGAGTGCTGGCAACTTACTATATATATATATATACATACTACATCTATGGGTTTTCTTATTCTTTCTTTCTCGTTCAAGGGCCTGTCAGATCTCTCAGACCTCGTTTTTGACACATCGAGTCTACTTCAGTTGTCTAAGATCATCCGTGGACCTTTCTTTTGCAGGTCAAAAATGGTGTTATGAGGCCTGACGGAAGCTGAATAAACAAGTGATGAGCCAAAACCCGCACCCACATGTGGTCGCTAGATCCTTTTGCGAAACACAAAAAAGAAAGAAACGATGCTGTCCCCTAGCGAGAGAGTTGTTTCTGATACGGTGTTTGGCGGTCAGATCTCTGACAGACAGTGTCACTGCCATGGGCGAGCCGCACCGACGAGGAAACTCCAAGGCCTTTGTTGGATGATAGATGCCTTGAGGTTTGAGGCCTTCGCCATGCTTGAAAACGGCATTTTCCCGGTCGAAAGCACTCAAGCTGAGCTCGCACTATATGTCAGGTACACTTGATGTGTCAGACAACAAACCATGCATAGCACAAACACCCCTCGCACAAAGACGATCGCTGGCGAAACCTTCAGTCCCAAAAGCGCGTTCGAAACCGAAACCTGATGCGGCATAGTTCAGGAGAGTTGGACTTGTTGGGGTCGGAACACCTGAGATCTGGCCATGTCGAGATGTCTGGGACGCGCACCAAGGCTGGGCGCACCATCTGGACGAAAGCTTGAATGAGCCCGAGACCATAAATAGCAGGTTATAACGCATGGAAAACCACATGTTCTTCCATTTTTCTAGAAGAAAAATCCATGGAAGACCCGCTTTGACCCACTTGGACGACCAACGCGAGTCATGACTGGACGTTCCGCGCCTCACCCGCCACACGTCTGGACGCAGCGTCCCCGCTGCGTCCAGGCACTGCGTCGGGTCTGGCCTTGAGCACTGCGAGTTTCGCTGGCTGGGGAGATCGGAGTTGTGGGTTCGAAGTGGGAGAAAACAGGGGGACCTAGTCGGGCTGGCCTCCAACCTAGTAGCGATGGCCTGCAGCCTTTTTTTTTGCGATGAAGACTAAATATGGTGAGTTGTGGACCGATCATGATATGTTTTTTGTTGATATTGAGGTTTTCAAGATCTCAAAGGTCTGGATGTAGTGTTGCTGAGCTTTGCAAAACCATGGTCAATGATGGTTCTTTAGATGTTTTTGTCGTGTGAAACAGAGGCGTGCGAATCGCAGCTTGCATGGCAAATGCGTGGCAGAAGAAACCACTCGGTACACTTTTGAGGTAGCAATCTGCTGCCTACTCCACTGTAAAGCACTGTCTCGTGGTTTTTCATAAAGGTTACCATTGGGACTCCACTCGGAGATGAGTCGAGTCAGTCAGGTCCATCCCTTCAGTCCTACAACGCGGCCTTCGTCGGTGGCGCGGGTGGCACGACCGCAGGCGGGGTTTGGGCGGGTTGGGTCGTGGGGTCCAAACCACGTTGGTGCTGAGTTCGGAGTGTTTTTTCGACGCCAATGGCACAAGCAGGTGGATAGTTTGGGGTGAGAAGGTGAGAAAGGGCATGATCCACTGCGAGTGTGGAGATGTTTGGTGATTGCAAGCACCCCATAGTTTGAACAATGGACAGAGTGCGCCTACTTCCGGCAGGGTGATGTCAGATGATGTCAGACTCACCCTGACTCACCCTCTTCTTTCCACACAACACCAAGTCAGTGGTGTTCAGTCTGATGATGAAGAAGACTTGCCACCATGCACTTGCCGATAGGGCCCATGGGTGGGCAGTTTTCCAACGTGTCGATGCCGATGATTCACATGTTTGATGGTTTGCATCGTCTGCATTCTGAGTGCTCTTGTAACATAGATCACTGGCTTCAAGCTGGATGGACGGGTGGATGGATGAAAGGGGGAGGACGTGTGTGGATCGGTCGTGAGTGGCTATCTAGGTGGGTGGATAGTAGGTGGCTGGATAAAAGCACTTGACGAAGATAGACAATCTATTCAAGTGGTGCCCTTTTTGCAGTTGTTGGAAGGGATGATAGCTAAAAAAAGGGCGCCTCTGAACTCTGTGCTGGTAAGAAAATCATAGACGCCCTTTTTGGGGTTGCTGGAAGGGCTGATAACTTAAAAGTAGGGCCTCTCTTGAGGTGTGAGAGAGAGAGAGAGAGATGATGTGGTTCGAACGTGTAGTCCTCCTGGTTGTTTTCACAAAACAAGTGGGTGCTGCGCGACGCGGACGTACTGACGTCCGTTCGACTGGAGCCTGGCCCGCACCTGGGAGGCCACTGGGGTGAGGTTTTCGGGCTCCGTTCGAACGAAAAAGCTCCGTTCGTAGCGAACAGGGCTCCGTTCATAGCAAGGCCAGGAGCCCCTTTTTTCGTAGCGTCCGATCGCTCCGTTCGAGTCGCGGTGCACGAAATGCTCCGTTCGTAGCGACCTCTACTCCCTCAAAACATGAATTAGAAAGGGATGGGCGTTTTTTTCGGGATTTTATTTTTTCATTATTTTTTTGGCCATTGCTTTTGCTGCTTTTGTGCTTCTGCTGCTTTTCTGCTTTTTGTGTTTTTGTCTTTCTGCTCTTTGCTTTTGTTGCTTTTCTGCTTTGGCAGCTGTTCTCCGTCTCTTTTTGTTTTTGCTTTTCCATCTGTTTGCTTTCCAACCTTTGTATCTGGTGTGCTGCTGGGGGGGGGCTGCGCCCCCCCCCCCCCCCCCCCCGCCCCACGAAATCTGCACTTCATCTCCGACACCCGCGCCTGCCACGAAATCAATATTTTAAGGTGAACTCCCCGGGGCATAAACTTCTAACCAATCATATATATGCTTCCTGTGCTGGTTCTCTTTCTCTTTACTGTTTCTCTGCTAACGTAGGACTTTCTCTGACACCTACACTATTCCAATGTATTTTGCCAGCTACGACAGCTCCCAAATTAGTCTAATCAGCTAGCAATTAATATGAAACCTGCACTATTCCAATGTATTTGGCCAGCTACGACACCTGTGTCTCGGCTAAGGACACGAAATTGCTGTAATTAGCTAGGTACTAATGAGAAACCTTCTCTATTCCAATGTTTTTAAAAAGATCCCGAAAAAAATGAAAGAACTTACCAAATTAAACGTGCACCCATTAGAAAGAATCGTCTTCCGCTCGTGGCTCGCGGCGGCTCGGCAGCCAGGAAGCGGTCTCTGCTGCTGTCTTCATCGCGGCTGCCTTTCTAGGCGAGGGCTTTCAGCAGGCCAACTTGAGACTTGCCCATCCAGTTTTGTGAGCTGTTTTGCTGGATTCATTGATTCATTGCATCGTAAGCTCCCTCTCCCTGTTGCCATTCCAGCAGGCTCGATTTGTCGCGTTGAGTTTTAAGGATGTGAATGAAGTAGATGACATCTGCCCTGGTGACGGGATGCAGCGCATCTGTGCTTGCCAATGTCACTTTGCTCATTCACTGCCGACAAGAGAGCACAATTTGTGAAATGTGACATCCGATGCTCGACCTTTACTCCAAGTACTTTAAAGAAGTGATCTTTCTGTCGAAAGATGTTAGCAAATCACAGAGAGGTGCTGTCACATGTCCTGGCGCTGGTGATCCTCACTGGTGCATTGCATCCCAAATGAACAGCACAAAGGCTCTGGGAATCATGTATGTGCAGTTCGATGTGGTCATTTTGCCATGCGGGCTGGCAAGAATGCCGAAGACGGAAATGTTGGCAAGCTTCTCCGATTCGACCAAGACCTATGCCCCTTTCTGCTACTATGAAGCATGCAGGCTTTTTCCGAGATTGAACTGCGAATGGGGGCATTGGCAAGGGAAGACCACCCAGGACCAGGTTGTGAACATGGTCAATGACCTGGAATCTGTGCTAGTGGGCACGGGGGAGCAGACGACACGGCATGCTCATGTTTTTGAGAACCTGCGTCATGGCATGATGCACGGCAGCTCAGATCTAATCTATGTCTCACGTGAAGCTTTTGAAGTCTTCACTGTCTGTGCCCGTGTGTTCAAGAAGCATGAAATCGTGCACCCAACCATGCTAACATTGGTGCCTTTTCTCACTGGAATGAGCTTCCAAGATTTGGCATGCCATGGAAGCCGGATGAAGGAAGTCTACAAGGCTGAGTTGCAGTCCAAGGACTTTGTTTGACACCGAGTGAACTATTCCAATGGCTCCTCGTTGTGGCTACTCTGTCCGCATGGCATGCTCAATCAGAGTCTTGAGGTGCCCCACAAGGAGCACCAACCTTGTGAGGTGAGTGCACTCGCTGGGGTCTGTGCCGTCAAGCTTGGATTTTCCAGCGGAAAGTCTGACTAGCCAGCTTGTTGCGGCAGGTAAAGTGCTTGTTATTTTTTTTCTTCTGATTTTATGAAGCTATTTCAGATGTTGAAGAAGCGTAGTGTCAAGTTTCACAAGAATCTGGTGGAACTACAGTGACCTTCCCTCAAAGGACCAATGAACAGGAGAACCACCAGCTGTATTCGGTTTGTGGCTGTCATTCTAGTCAGAATGAATTGGTCAAGTCTAATGACTTGCGGAGTCGATTTCGACCTGACCAGGTCGACCTTCCGACCTGTCGCTTCTTCTGTGAAAAGAGAAAAGCCCTGCTCATATTGGATCCATGGATCCAGCTCTCCACGCCGCCACAAATGCCCTGGCTGTTATTCGTCCTGTCTTGCGCTCTTTTCTGGTAGGTCGTCTACAACAAGTTCTGCAGCTGGCTGTTTCGCAGATGACTTGGACACTTTGACCGGGCCAGCACAGCTTTGGTAGTAGCTGTAGTTACACTGTAGTTCTGGTTACTATTGAGCTGCATAGAAACTCTCAGAAAGGGAGCCGAGGGACAGACCGTGACACTCTCAATGCCGTCTCAGATGATGATTATGCTAAGCGCCTAAGCGCCTAAGCACATCTTCCTGCCCGCTCACTCTTGATGGAACGCGCAGTACGGGGTGGTCTTCCGCACGGAACTGGTAAGAACCTGCAGGCTGGGTCGTGCGGTCCGGTGGATGGGACTGGGATGAAGGATTTTAAGCATTTTTGTTGTCTCACAACGAAGTCACTCTTAAGCCTCAAGAGTCCCAAATCGCCACCTCACTTGAGGCAACGTCCACAGCCGCCGGCCACGTCACAGTGCCTGTGGTGTGCCGGATGCCAAGGAGTTCAGTTGGTTGGCATCGATCTCCTGATTTGGTTGCTCCAAGTCCGAGGTTGTATTTTGCAGCGCTCTCTTTTGTGCAGGGCATAGCCTTCATTTTACTCAGCCTTCACAAGGTCAAACTAAACATCAACAGCCTGCCACTTCCAAACAGATCACCTGCTGAGATTCTCAGCTGCAGCCTTTTTGGTTTTTGTTTTTTGGGCAACGGAAGATGTCTCAGACTTGATGTTTTCTGGTCTCGCTTCAGACCGAGAGTCGGCTGGCCGAGAGTCAACCAGAAGGAAAGCCATACCAATGGGGGAGAAGGGATTGGAATTTTTATTTGAGGAAGGGAACCTTTTTTCGAGGACTTTGACAAGTATATGAGGTGGTGATACCTCATCCGCGCTACACATAGTGGTGGATGTACCAGCAGTGGTCAAAATCTATTTGTGCGATCTGTCCAGGTTGTCATGTTACGCCAAGGTTCCTAGCTTTGATCGTCAGGTTTTTTCTTCATGTCTAGGACCTCCGAAGACCTCGTAGACCTCGTGGCTTTTCTTTCGGTGACATGGCACCGAGGCCACGTCTGCCAAGTCCCGGATTGGGCTGACCCAGGTCGGGACCGGCCTAGACGCTTTCAACACACGGAAAGGCAGCTGGTGAATCAAGTGCTGGGCCGCCAGTCGACAAGAGCAGTATGGTCCAACAGCCTCTCCATTCAAGACGGTACTTTCACCGTTTCTTTTACGGTCAGGATGCCTGTGGTCGAGCATGGCAAAAACCATGTCTTTCGGGTGTCTCTTCCGTTCCTTTGGTCGTAACCGGGGTGAAGGTTGGGTTTTGATTCGAGCACGGGGTCAGACAAAGAAGCCCATCACAGCTTTGAGTCATACGTTTCAGTAGCGTCCTTTGCTCCTAGTAGCGATCCCCTTGGTTATTAGTAGCGATGCCCTGCTATTAGTAGCTTCTTGAAACCTTTTACCACGCAGTTGTGAGTTTACTTGGGCACAGTCCGAGCTCCTGCCCTCGGCCATTCCGCCTCAAGCGGCCAAGAGCTTCGTGGCGCCGGCGAGCCGAGAAACCCCACCGGCTCGACACCGAACATGTTCATCCTCTTCCTCTGGTTCCTGCCGTCCGCGAGCCTTCCAGCTCCTCCGTCTTCCGCGCTGGAGGCCGACAATGGCGCCGACAGCGAGGGGTTCCCCCTGGCATTGCTACAGGTGCCTGAAAGCGGGAGCTTTTCTTTGGCTTTTCAACCGCTTTGGTGGAGACCAGAAGCTCCGAATCCTCCCACGTGAATCCTCCTTATCTACAAGGTATATGGCAACTGCACGTTTACATCTCTTCTGTCCTATACTGTTACAGTACCCGCTTTCAACAGCGGGCTCCCTATCCAACCCTTCGGTTCAGCTTCTCCAATCCAACACGAAAGCCGCCTGCTTTCCACACTTCAGGTCGACCTCCAGTTCCGGACACAGAGAGAGCGCTTGAACACCTCCGGCCGCGCGGACGCCTCGCGGACGCCTCGCGCTCCACTCTGCATGGCGGCACACCGGGTGCCGGAAGTCTATCTGCTGGGCGCGCCCAAGGCGGGGACCACCTCATTGGCGCTGCAGATGTTTCTGCATGGCGTTTGGCCGGCGGTGCAGTGGGGACACGTGGCGGAAGATGTGGGGCACTTGAAGGAGATTTGGGGGGGGGGGGGGGGGGGGTAATGGGGGGGAGGGGTCTGCGGCGTTCAGAACCCGTCGTCCGACGCCCAATCTAGGCTTCTGCGGGGGGCTTCCCCTAAGAGCTCCGGATCGCTTCATTTTACACCAGGAAGTTCCCAGCACGGAATTCGCTCCATTCGTTTCTTCACCTGCCAAATTTGCGTGCCGTGGACCCGCAGGAGTTCCACTTTTTCGATGATGGCGAGGCCGTGCGGCGCAATCGCACGCAGTGGCTGGAGCATCTTCCAAGCTGCGAAGCAGGGGCGTTTTCATCCCCTTCTCCCCGGAGCGCCCGGAGCAGTGCGAGTCGACGCACTGCTGTCCCACCGGTGGCGCTGGGCGACTTCACGCCGAGGAACCTGCGACTGGTGCCGTTGCCGGCGGGGATCCAAGGTGCGACGCCGCTGATGGCTGAGGCGAACCTGCCAGCGACACTGGAGCGGTTTTATGGCCAGCAGGCTCAGAGGTTGGTTTTCGTGGTGCTGCTTCGAGAGCCCTTGAGCCTTTTTCAATCCATGTACTACCTGGCCAAAGGAAGGAACTTCACTGGACAAGAGGATCTTGAAGCTTCTACATTTCAAGAGAGCTTACAAAAAAGCCTCAACCTGGCCAAGCACCAGATCTACTCTGACGATCTTTGGGCCGGTCTCTACTCTTGGCATCTCTCTGCATATCTTCAGCACTTCGATGCCTCGCAGTTCATCATCTCCCCCATGGAGGCCTACGTCCGGTCCTTTGCGCCGGACCTCTGTCGGTCCCTGTCGGAGCGCCTGGAGCGCGACCTCTGCGGTGAAGATGGCTGGCGCCAGGCGCCCCACATGCACCACACGGAGCATCCGCCCCTGGCCAAGGAGCTCGGCGCGGCCGCCACGCTGGTTGAAGCGATGATGGAGTTCCTGGAGCCCGAGCGGCAGAGGCTGCTGGAGGTACTTGGGAAGTACAGTCGAGGGAAGGCGCGGCTGATTGGATACCAAGGCAAGGTTGGATCTCAGACTGACATCGACGGGTGGCTCAAGGAGTTTGGAATCTACGGTGCAGACGAGGTTGAAAGTTTGATCTCGACGGATGAAATCACAGCTGTTTGCGTCTCAGACACGTACTCGATCAGGATGAAATCCTTTTGGTTGGACCACCGGTTAAGTTTCACCGTCGCCATGCTCACGGTGATGAACATGATCTTCTACGTCTCAAGGGACCTGGTCTCGAAACACCCATTCAGCAAGCACTATGCGCCAGAAACTTTAGAAGATGCCACTTTGCGTCTGGCCAAAGGAGTTTTGAGCCCCATCTTCTTTTTGGGCTATTTGGTGATTCTCCATCACATGAAGACTGGCTGCAGCTTGGCGGATGCCTATGTCTTCTATGGCGCCTCCTGGACAGCGGCCTTCGACTTGTGGGAATGGATCTATCGTTGGCCCCTGACGCCTTTGCCACTTGGCCGGTTGGTACCGAGGTCCCGACCGAAGCGTCCTGGGTGTCGATATGCGATGCGATGCCGAGGTCCAAGACACCCCAGTCACAGTTTCTTTTTGTTTTGAACTCGCGAAGCAAGGACGTAAAAAACGTGGGAATTGAGCCAGAATTGGTCAATCACCAGACCTGGGGTATCTTGATTCAATTTGATTCATCTTCATTCACATCTTCTCGTATCTTTTCCTCCGTCCCCTGAGCTGTACCCACCGTCCCCGCTGCCCCAAGTATCGTGACTGTCGGCCCTCACCGCCGCGAGTTTACCGCAGCAAGGGACTCCATGATCCATGGCTGGGGTCCACAGTGCTGAGTGTTACTTTTTTCTTTAAATAATCGTTCTTACTTTTTCCCGAATGCGTAGCGAAGGGTTCTCGCTTAACTCTGGGGGTCTGGGGGTAGAGCCTTGTTCGCGACGAGTTGTCTCTGCGTCCGCAACCGTCCGCAACCGTTCGCAACCGTCCGCAGTAGGGCGCTAAGGCCGCTGCCATTGGGGGAAGCTTTTGGAGATGGTTTCGGATGAAAAGGTGACGTGTCAGATTCGTGTGAAATAGCGTGGAAACGTCTGGAAATGTAAGATGTCGAAGTGTGGAGGTGGAGTTCACTGTGCAGGCGCAGCGTTTTGTGAGATCCGCAGTTTTCTGCGCAGTTCCATTGGGATTAGCGTTTGGAGAGTCGAGTTTTTGGGGTGTTGGATGTGGCTGTGCCATTGGGGCTTGCGTTTCAGGGTGTGGCATCGAAGCTCTGTTTTCGTAACAAGTCTCAGCTGAAACAGCGATTTTGGTGGATGGGAGTGTGCTCAGAACGGGTCGAAATCATGCCAAACGTGTGGTGTGGTGCAAATTTTGTTGAAGCTGGCATGACATGATATTGTCACTTTTCGTGGCAGGAGCAGTACTTTGTGCGGGTTTTGAGGTGTGGAAGTGCGATTTTCGTGGCAGGCGCAGGGAATCGTGAGGTCGCGAGGTGTGACGGAGGTGACATTTCGTGGCAGGCGCAGTATTTTGTGCGCGTTAGACGTGTGGACGCGGAAAGATTCGTGGCAGGCGCAGGGAATCGTGAGGTTGTGAATTGTGGTAGAGGTGAATGTCGCTGTGACAGTGGGATTGGCGTGTGAGCGGGTGTTGTTTGGAGGGGCTGGAATCGCGAAACTGCTTGGCAGGGCTGCGTGATGTGTGTGCTCCGATGGGTGCTTCCGCTTGACTTTTGGAGGAAGTCTCGTATGAAACGCTCGTTTTGCAGACTTTGACATGTGAGTTGTTGAGGAGGTCTAGTACGAAACGCTCGTTTTGGAGACTTGACGTGTGACTTTTTGAGGAGGTCTCGTATGAAACGCTCGTTTTGGAGACTTGATGTGTGACTTTTGGAGGATGTCTCGTACGAAACGCTTGTTTTGGAGACTTGACGCGTGACTTTTGGAGTAAGTCTCGTACGAAACGCTCGTCTTGCAGACTCGAAGCGTGACTTTTGGAGTAAGTCTCGTACGAAACGCTCGTTTTGGAGACTGTGCGCATGACTTTTGGAGGACGTCTTGTACGAAACGCTTGTAGTGTGTGGACAGACCGTGTGGCGAAATTACGTTCGTGATGTCGCAGTGCCATCGGGATTTGCGCGGCCTGGGTGGGAAGTGCGTTTGCGTGGCACCGTGCCACTGGGGAGTCCCACAAAAGAGTGTCCCACAAGAGTGTCCGACAAGAGTGTCCCACAAGAGTGTCCTACAAGAGTGAGTGTCTTACAAGAGTGTCCCACAAGAGTGTCCTGTAAGAGTGTCCCACAAGGTTTTTGGCCGACAGTGACACTCCGCTGTCGCATGAAAGACTCCCGGACAAGAAGGAGCAGAAGCTGCAAATTGGGGAGAGCGGGGGTGAAGGTCGAAGGGGCCACAAGAGCGGTCCGCAAGAGGCAAACAATGATTGGCCCTTTATTTTCGATCTTGTTTGCCTGCTCATGTGGCTGACGAACCTCGACGTTAGCGAGCTGGACCAGAAAAAACATGACCCATGCAAACACTTTTCGAACGTGTTTGCATTCGGGTTCGTGGGCTCCATCTTGTTACAATCTGCAGTGCTTTTTCAAGGACCTGAATCACTAGACTCTAGACCCCGAAGTCTACAAACATAGACTCCACAAGCTGAAGTCCGCTGGCCAGTTCGAGTTTCGAAGCCTTCATGTCTGACACCGCAGTGAGATGCCAAGCGAGCTGAGGTTGTTCCTCCATCATCTGGGAGGCTTGCTTCTCTGTTTGGCCATTGCAGATATTCGGGTTTTGCCTCTGGGCGGTGTCTGGACGGTGCCACAGCTGCTTTTCTTTTGCAACGTGAGTGTTGCATGGGCCACGGACCTCATCTTCAACGTCTTCTACTTTGCCACCAGCTTGGAGACCATTCGCCGCTACAGGACGAGCCGGGGACCGGGGGTTGGCCCCAAAAAAACAAAACGATGTTTAGACTGAGGTTCTTTCAAGAAAAGGAGAGCTCTACTCACCTATTCTGGTCCAGGTCATGTGGGGGAAGGAAGCAGCGCCATCCGATATCGACCATCTTGCCAGGTCGTTGTATTTCATCTCGGTCCCCTTTCGCGTCACGAATATGATCTGTTTGTCCTGTGGCGCGGTGATGGCTCTGGAGGGAAAGCTGTGGATCCCCGGAGTGATCCTGGCCTTCATGGCTGTGGGCTCCTGGATATTGCAAGAACCGCGTTTTTCCAAAACTCCAATACAGCTTCTCATTTTTTGTTGCTTTCTTTCTTTTCTTTCTTTCTTTCTTTCTGTCTGTCTGTCTGTCTGTCTGTCTTTCTTTCTCTCACTTAATTGATTCATTTTATTTTTTGGGAAAGTCTAGGATGGCCACCCTGCCGTTCTTTGAACGTCTCATAAAAGAGTACAACCTTGTGTAAACCAAGTCTAATTCCTGGGTGATGTACTTTCATTTTTTCACATGCCAGGTTACATCGCCCAGAACAGCAAGGCCATTTGGTGGGTCTACCGCTTCAGTCCCTGCCGATTCCACGCGGAGCATCAACAAAGGTGGCTCGCTCACGAGCGCGAGGATCCCCCCGAGGTGACCAAGGTGAAATCGGAGAGCATCGACAGATGAGACCATCTGGAAGCCAGGTTCGCTAGGTTGGAGGCCATCGCAACGACAGATTCGCTGTGGAGGCCATCGCTGAAAAGAAAAAAACAGAGGTTCTGAAGACAGCAAAGGCTGCAACGGCACCGAGCAGAGAGCGGGTGAACGGTTGATGCTCGGGGTGAGCGGTTTGACCCCTCAGACTCGTGTTCTTCGAAGAGGCGAACTGTGCTTGAATAATAGAGGTGTCTGAAGTGAGAAAAGGAGGACAAGCATGGAAGTGGACCAAGCCCTTGTTTGGTCTTCCAGCCGCTTTTACTTTCATGTTAGTTAGAGCTTTGTGTTTTGGTCAGTGAAGGGTGCAAGACGCTTGCTTTGGTTCCTGGTCTTTCCCACGCATCTGCAGTAACATTGCAGCCCACTTTCTTGGTCTTCCCATTCTGCTCAGAACTTTGTCCAAGCAGAACTGAGTTGAAATTGACCATCCCCGTTGGACATGATTTGGGCCACTGACTGAATCAAAGCCGATGTTGATTGTAAACCTTCTTCTCACTCTGAGGTGAGGATAATGTCCAATCTGATGAATGAGCTACCCAGAGGTTTTGCTTTTCGTCCGATGCTTCATAGAATCGACGAGCGGATCTTGGACGAAGCATGATGCGAACCCATCGGTCTTGGGTTCCATACGACGTACGACGGGCGACGCCGGTCCACCGGCCGCGGCGCGCCAGGGGCCGACGGAGTTCGGATCCTCAGCCGTCGGCGTTCGCCCCACCGGGAGGAACGGTCCCGCCGCCGCGGGTCCACAGTTGGCACTGAAGACATCGTGTGGAAACCGCCACACGTTTGTGTTGCCTTGAAATCGCTGCTGTAGACCTCTTCTGCTTGGCCAGCAAACATGTGAAAACCTTTGATCATTGATAGGTCCCAAGGTATGACGAAACGGAAATGGACCAACTTCCCATGGCCTTCCCATGGCCAACCCCATCGCAGACGACCGAAGAAGACATCGGAAGACCCGGGTGGGTTTTGGTCTTCGCTCCAGCCAATTCAGGATTTCAGTCGGAATGGACTTCAGAGACCGAACTCGTCTTCTTTGTGACGTTCGTAGCGAACCTTGTGACGTTCGTAGCAGGAATGCTCCGTTCGTAGTACGGCCAGGAGCCCCGGCCCTCGTAGCGTCCTTGCTCTCTTGCTCCGTTCGAGTCGCGATGCCCTTTGTTACTAGCTATTTGCTCAATCAGGAAAGTCGTGTTGGATCACTCGCTTGCTGTAGCTGATCCTCACTTGTTACTACCAGTAAGGCACTTGTTACTACTAGTCAGGCACTTGTTTCTAATAGCTTTTTGTTACTAGTAGTAAGGCACCTGTTACTACTAGCGTGGCACTTGTTACTACTAGCTTCCCCCAAGTTGTGCTAGTAGTAACAAGTGCCACGCTAGTAGTAACAGGTGCCTTACTACTAGCAACAATGTTTGCTATTAGAATTAAATTGAAATTAAAAATAACTATTAGCTTCTTGTTACTACCAGTAAGGCACTTGTTATTGCTACACTTGTGTGACGACAGATGCGTTCGGGGCCGTGTTTGCACCTCACGGGTGAAGAGGTGTCAGTCTCCCACCTGGTCCGGTCCTACGTTTGTCACCCATTTGGCGCTCAGGTGGGGATTTGTGGCGCACGAATCGGCCAAAACGAAACGTGTGGCGCACTCAGGACGTTGTGGGTGGCGGAACGCGGAACTTGTGTTGATTGATCGCAGCAGATGATTTGGTTGATTGGTCGCAGATTTTGGCTAGAATCTAGAAATTGTTGACGTGTCTCTCGATCAGGGAGTCTGACATGAAGAGTCTTCCACCTTGCATCGCAGCTCTGCTAGCGCTGCTTTTAAAAAGCAGTCATGCTCAGAGTTGCTTGCAGGGCGCCATCAGTCCTGATCTTAGGAAGAACGTCACTAATGCCAAAGGAGAGTCGTTCCCACTCGGGGCTGTGCTGCAACCCTACACATCATCAAAATTAGCCCATGCGGTCTACGAAACTGTGATCACAGAAGTCTTGGGATACAATTTGGATTTTGATCCTCATTCACCCCCATCCAGTGTGGATGCTTTGTATGCTGCTCTAGGTTGTCAATCTTGGTACAACCCAGAGGACCGTGGATGCGAACAACGTGCCATCCGGAGGCACTTTATGGTGGAGAGCTGGCACCAAGGATTTATGACCATCGTTCAGGACCTTGAGCAGATCTACGGAGGAGAGATGCCTCTTGCGGTGCCCATGGGCTTTGATGGCACATCAGGTTCATTTATCAGGAAGACAGCCATGGATGCAGCACAAAATGCCACGGGCTTTGCGCTGGAGTACTTCAAGAGCTATGCAGCCCTCGGTCAGAATGTGCTTCAATACTTTGACAACACTTCGGTGGTGAATTCTTCAGACCTTCTGCAATGCAGCCAAGGCTTCTGGAGCAACAATGCTACGATGTACAACTATTGGAGACAAACGGGTGACGATGATGGCGTGGTCATCGAGAACTACTCCTACAAGGCATTCTGTGCAGATGGGCATTTTTGGCAAGCTCCCAGTTGCAGGGCTGTTGGTGCGGAATGTGCTGTGTACATCACGGGTGGCAGCGGATGGGAACTGGAGCAAATGCTCCAGAGGAGTGCTGTTTTCTTGATGCCACTTGGTATTGGTATTGCAAGTAGTTGGGCCAACTTCTTGGACCTGCCAAGGCGGCACAGGACTCTGACCTATGCGTGGACTCCTGACGATTCCTTCTTGAGCTTGAACCTGCAGGAGATCATCTATCCACCGTACAACGCATATGCTTGGTCGCTTGGAGATGTAACCTCCCAAGCTCAAAAGATTCCACTCACAGTCATGGCCAGCTATGACTTGGAGTTCCTGGCGCCTGATGTCATGGAGTTCTTCAAGAAGGTTTCGTTTGATATCGGCACCATCTATGAGATGATGGCAGAGCAAACGGCCAGCGGAGCGTCTCCGCACGCGGTTGCTTGCCAATGGCTCAAGAGCAATGAGCTCAGGTGAGCAGAAAGATCACAGAACACCCCACTTTCGAACGGACGCATTGTTTTGAAACGTTTTTTTGCTTAACAGATTGCATGGTTTGACATGTTGGCAGCGGATTAATGACCATCGATAGACTTTCGAGTCACAAGGTGGCGTCCTTGGATTCCGGATCCTACTGCTTGCAACCGTGGCTTCGGGCTTTACGATGAAGCCATTGATGAGTTTGTTGGCAGTCGGGACAAAGCCAGCACCTGCAAAGCATGCGTCCCTGGCACCTATGCCAGCTTGCTTGTAGATGGTGATGGCCACACTTATGTTTGTCTTCCATGTCCAGCCGGGACAGAGCAACCCGCAGCAGGGGAATTGACTTGCCAGAGTTGCCCTGCAGGCAAGTTCAAAGCGCAAGAATCCAGAGAGGAATGCATTCCTTGTGAGCGAAGCTTTTACCAGGATCAGGTTGGCGCAAAGGCATGTAAGTTGTGCCCGGAGGGGACTACTACATTGTTGCAAGGGGCGAATCGATCCCCGGTTTTGCAGATGAGATTTTTCTTTTGATTTGTTGCTATCCTCAGCGTTTGGAGCTGACTGTATCCGCCTAAAGTAGATTTTTGGGGAAACGTGTTGACTTTGCCACATTCTGCTCTTTTCAGATCAGAGGACTCTCTCAATGTGTTTGCGCAGCTGGGTCGATTGATACATCCGACTCCCAAGATGCTCAGGCCTGCGAGCCATGCATGGAGGGCTTGTCATGTCCTGAAGGCAGCACACTTGCTTTGCTCAAGTCGGGCCAGAATGTCAGCGGTGTTGACACACTTCCAGCAACCTGGGCTGATGATCTTTAGTGCGCACACACACACACACACTTTTTCATGACATGTTGGGACATTCTTTCAGTTGTGTGTGTGTATGTGTTTTTTTTTTGAATTTGGATCTTCGCAAGTTCAGGCAATCGAGTCGGGATACTTTAGTTGGGCTGACCAACCCATGGAAGTCTTCAAATGCCGCGGTGACCACTGTCCAGGAGGGGTTCCAGGCACTTGCGAAGGAGGTGCACTGGGTCCAACGTGTGATACCTGCCCTGCAGAACAGTAACCTGGCTGCCAGAATGGCTGCTTTTTGAATCAAACGCCCTTAGGAACTGTTTGGGAAGATTTGGTTCAAGTCTTTTGGAACTCGCATGAAAAACGCAGGTACTGGGCCAATGAGAAATGTTCAGAGTGCGAGGTGTCATTGAAATCTGTTTGGGTTGCGTTGCCTATTGCATTCATTCCAGCTTTGGTTCTGCTCTACTACAAGACAGAGACCCACTACAAAGCAAGCGCCTCGCTTGCTCAATGTGGGAGTTTGTCCATTGAATTGATGTTGAACTTTGTTCAAAATCTAGGTGTCCTGGGCATGGTATTTGTACCTTGGCCAGTGAGCCTAACCCAAGCATTCGAGTTCTCGCAAGTCTTTGTGCTGAACTTGAAGTCCTTTGGCTTCAATTGCACATCCGGTGGCGATTTTGAACAATACATCGTCACCGCAGCGCTTTGCTTTAGCGTTGCAGTGCTGTTGCCAGGCTTAGGGTGTCTAACCCACGCAGTTCCATGCTTGAAGACTCGCAACTTGAGCTGGCGCACCTATCGCGTCGCGTGCGCCACTGGACAGATTTACCAGGGCTTGTTTGTGACGATGTGCAGTGTGGGACTCTCACCCTTCATGTGCTACAATCATCCAAATGGCCAGCAGAGCCTTTTGAAGTACCCCAACCTTCTTTGCCACACTTCAAATCATGGAATTATGCAGTTGCTAGGCGTTGCAATCTTGGTCTTGTGCTTGACCCACTTTGTCCTTTGCTTTTGGGCAACCTCTAGCGCTCCCTCTTGGTCAATGACGTCTCCCGAGCGATTGCAATGTATTGGCTTTCTGATGACCAACTTCAGGCCATCTTGTTGGTGGTTTGGTTTGGTTGTCCTCATTCGAGGACCGCTCTTATCCTTGGGCCAGGTCGTGGAGCCAGATGATGAAGGGGTTCAGCTGCTAGTCATGATGTGTGTCTTACTTGCCTCGCTATGTCTTCAACTTTGGTTCTTACCCTGGAAATTGCCCCTTTTGAACTTGGTGGATGCCATTTCGACCGCTTTCTTCCTGGCTTTGCTGGCAGTTGCGATGCAAGTGTCCACGATCCGCAGTTCCATGTTTCTTGACGCTTTTGGATCAATGCTCTTCTACACGAGCCTGGCAATCATTGCAGCAGTTGGCTTCTTCTCTTTGGGGCTCGTGGCATTGCAACGCCTTTGTCGCAGAAGAAGCGGAGGCCTGCCATTGCGCGTGGTGATTTTGGGACAGCAGCCTCAGCCAGACGAAATGCTATCCAACTTACTGGAGATGGCCACCCAGTTGCAAAGCAACTCAACCATCTTGCAGCAGAAACTGGCCAGGAAAATGACCAACGTCTTGTCCGTTTACGACCTCTACACTGTGGAGAGGGCCTTGGAGAAGCTTGGCTGAGGAGTACTTCCGTGAGTTGTTGCCACGCTGACACCTAGCAGACCTAGCACCTAGCACCTGCCCTGTTGGTGTCGCTAGCCTTGTGATTGCAGGTAGATGTTGCAGTTGCTTTTGCTCAGTCGCTGTCCTTGTTGTGTTTGTTGTTCTGGTTGGCGTTGCCCTTGTCGTCCTCTTGTTGATTGTGGGTTTCTGTTTTTGTTCTCTTGTTGGCCTCTTGTGAACTGAATGAGATGCAGGTGTATATGAGCCGTAGCCCTGGGTTACATTGACCTTTCTGATCTGAGGATTTTGGCGGTGGATTGTGAACTCCTCCCTGATGGCATCGGTTCCAAAGCACGGCGCATCCGCGCCAAGCGAATCAGCCAGATGACGCGAAAGTCTTTGGCCACACACCAGCTCGAGCAGCAGAACGACCCAGAGGATCACTTGAATGCCGATTTGAGGAGCGATGGAACTTCTTCCTCTCTTTCAATTTGAAGAGATACCGTGTCCGTCAGTCTCCCGATGAATTCCGGTGAAGAACTTTCACCATGCTTGATCGCCTAAGGTGCTCAAGTTTTCGTTTTATTGTGACTGTCAAAAAGGTCGGATGGTGAAGTACTTTGTGAGGCTGACAGAAGTCGACCTTTGTCTGGGACACAGCTCGGTGTTTTGCAAAGGACTGGCACGTTGGTTGACAGATGTTGACAGCTTTTTTCTAGAATGTTTTGTGTTCCTTTTGGCTTTCCCTTTCATTTTCCCTCAGCCAGTTTTGGATCTCAGTGCCGGCCCTTCTCCCGATGTCAGGCACGTCCTCTGGCGGAGCGGATCTCGGGCGGAGTTCAAAGCGGGGAAGCTCTTCAGGTCGATGTCAGGCGCAGAATTCCGATTTCAGAGCCTTTTGGTCTTCAAAAGTGAATGAAGACGATGAAGACCTCGAGACCGGACGCTTCATTTGTGGCGACATTGGTTGTTTTTGTTAGACCGATCTGGTGTTCTGGCTGGTGAGGTTCGTCCGGGCCTTCCTGGCCTTTCACGGCCAGGCGAAGACATGATGTTGCAAAGGGAGTTGTTTCATGTTTGCTCCGTTGTCTCTTTTTTGCCACGAGGTGGTTTTCATATTCTTATGACCTCCGGATGACTTCGGCCGTGGCATTCCTGACACTTGCCGCCTCCCCATGGTGTGTCCCCCCATGGTGTGTCCCCCCGTTGGACGAAGATCGGTCCAGACCGAGGCTCCACAGAGGAAAGTGTTCTTCAGCTCCTTGTTGGCCCAACGCGACCGTCGCGAAACCCGCTTCGGATTCCGTTCGCCCATGCCGCTGGCACCTCCCCGTGGACAAAGCTTCACCAGCGAAGGAGCCGTGGCGAAGGAGTCGGACGCGTCGGTCGGACCTGGGGAGGTCCGAGTGTAAACTGAAGTACTTGGGGATTTGTTTTGGGGGGTTGGAAGGGCTTGATTTGCCGTTTCAATTGGAGATGCTATGTCGTTGCTGAAGCAGCAGCATGTATGGATGTTGCTGAAGCAGAGAATTAAACAAAAAAAGTCCAACCGCCATTGATTTCATCGGCTTTACCGAACAACCATTGTTTTACTACCCAAAGAATCGAGGACCATCAAAGGTGAAGGTTTTGAGGGTCCAAACCCCTGCTATGCAGGGTCCAAACCCTCCATAGGAGGGTCTTATGATTCTTAGGGTATAAGGATTTTGGACTACATCACGAGGTCAACCGAACTCTCTTTGAATGGTCCCGAGACCTGGCATGACCTGGCGTGCCTTCGTCCGAGCCGAGTTCACCGGTGTCAGAGTGTTCAGGAAGCTTATCATCACCAAGCTTCAAAGACGGCGTGTCCCCTTTCTTGGTGGTGACGGGTGCGGGCTATTCCCCCGTGAATGGCCGCTATGCTCACGATGGGCTTTGTGAAGGCAAGCCGAAGTTCAAGAAGATTGGTGGTGAGTTCATCATCTTCTTCAGATGGGGCATGTGGAAATTGGGGGCTGAAGATGACACCAACGTGTGGATCTATGAAAGCCCTACGGATCTCCGCCCGTCACCGATGCCACCGAGCGCATGGGTGACGGCCGGACAGTCGAAATACAGCCCAGCGCCAAGCCTCTCCTTGGGAACTTGTCGAGATCTCCAGGAAGGAGATGTTGTGACCATCATCAAGCTCCATGAAGAGGCGCCTGGCGCCTGACTTGAAAGCTCTGGGATGAGTTTGGAAGATGTTGCAAAAATAATTGAACTTCCGAACCAATTAGGTGGAGAGTCCTTGAGATGGTCGAAAAAAGTCATGTTGGTTTCAGCATGTCTCGGTTTTGTGTATTCTCGTGTATTCTCGTGTGAGGTCGACTGGTCAGGATGTCCAGAGAACACTGCGAGGAGGCTCGCTTTGACGAGTACACCTTGGACGGTGACCATCCACCGACTTCGAAGACTCCGAGGGAACTGGTTTTACCCCAGCGAGTTTCCTGAGAAGGTCGCGCCTCTAGCAGCGTTGGGCATGGTGAACTTGATGGGCAGGGCACATCGTATCTCTGAGATCAAAGAGAACTCAACACCATCCATCTCAGGAGACTCAGCTTTGACCATCGGAGGAAGGGTATAGAATGCTGGTCGTTTTTGGAATCCTGCTAGAGGTATCGGTTCTGAGAGGTGGAGACGGCTCTTTGAGAGGTCAAACATGTCTGGGCGACGACGTCAGAAGCTGCTCCCGACGTCAGAACATTCTGCTTGAAAGATTTTTGCAACTCTGGGGACATGATTTTCTCAATTCTGTAAGGTTGCACATCATGGGTTGGAGGCCATTGTGACTAGGTTGGAGGCCATTCCTGGTAGTTGGAAGCCATCGCTATTCGGTTGGAGGCCATCGCTCTTGGGTTGGAGGCTATTAGGGTGGAGGCCATCCGAGTGGCTCAATTTCTAGAACTGTCTCGTGGCTGGCTCCATATGGCTCTGTCATGGCAGCAGGAGACCAACCGGTTGACCTACCCACAGAAGGTCAAGCTCATTACATGGTGGTCCAACAGGTGAAGAGACCCATTCCCACTTGGAGCCCATCTCAAACCTGTCGCATTGGGGTTGTCCCATCCAAACCTGCCGTTTTGCCCCAGCTTTTCAAGGAAAGTGTGCTTCTCCACCCTTCTTGGTCGTCGCCGGTGCCGGCCACGCCACACTCAACGGCCGGTATGCTTTGGCCGGGAACTTTGCAGGCAAGCCCAAGTACAAGCAGGCAGGAGTGGAGAGGTTTGACGAAAGACTCGTTTGACACCACAGAATTTGGCCCATGCACCAGGGTCTTGATCTCGTGGCAAGATCATTTGTCTTCGTCTTGGCTCTTGCTCGCTTCGTTTTTTCCGGGGCATTTGTCGGTGGGTGGCTACCTCCATCCATCCTTTCACTCTTGGGTTCGTCCCCCAGCCCAAATTCCCGCGTAGCCTGAGATGGAGGTCGGTGGCAATTCCATCATCTTCTTCATGTCCGGCAAGTGGAGATTGAACGACGAGGAGGTCACCGACGAGCGTTGCTACGATGCGGTCGAAGTGGATGAGGAGGCGCGCATCCCACCAAGTCGATGGGTGAAGGTGAATGCGAGATATGGTGCAGCGCCCAGCCTTTCGTTGGGAACTGGCCGCGATCTTCAAGTCGGTGACTCGGTGGTGCTGGAAAAGCATTCCAGGTCGATTGATTGGTCTGGCTGCCCGGAGGACGATTCTTCGAGGAGGTTCTCCTTCTCAGCACCCAAGACCGTTACGGTGCATCGCCTCCAGGGTGAATGGTTCTACCCAGCGGAGTTTCGAACGCTGGTGGCGCCGGTGGCGGCCTTGGGCTCGGTGAATTTCTTTGGTCAGGCACATCGCATTGAGGCGGAGGAGGAGATGATGACCTCGGCCTCTTCAGGAGAGAGATGCGGTCGGGCCGCGATGGGTCAGGGCCGCGATGGGCCAAGGGCCGCGGAGTGGTTGTCTCCTGCTGGTCCACGAAATTCTTGGGCTCGAAAGGACCACATTGACCCCTACCCCCCTTTCCAAGGCAAAGACATGGAACAAAAAGGGACATGTGACATGGCGAACATGACGTCCAAACCAATCCTCGAGGAGAGAATGCGCCTCCGCTGGCTGCGTTCCTGGTGCTGCGAGGTGCTGGAGTTGGGGCCATGAATGGTCGATATGTTCAAGATGGGCTGGAAGAAGAGAAGCCCAAATACAAGCAGGCAGGGGATGTTCAGGGGGATGTTCTTCTGCTAAAGAAAAACACTAGAAGTCACTAGACACAATAAAACACTTCTTTTTTGGTGCATCGGACATGAGATTCTGCGGTTTGAGTCTTAGTTTTGCTTGAAAGTCCCACGTGGCGGAGGTTGGCGGTAACTCTATCATCTACTTTTCCTCGGGCGTGTGGAGATTGAATGATGAGGAGAACATGCAGCAGAGAAAGTACGATGGTGCGCAGAATGATACCCCAACACCACCAAATGAGTGGGTGCAAGTTGACTCCAACTACGGTGCAGCACCAAAGCTTTCCATCGGAACTTGGCGAGATCTTCAAGAGGGTGACACTGTGACCATATCGAAGCGCCATGAGGATTTCGATTGGTCTGGATGCCCTGTGAACAGCGCAGGAAGGTTGCGATTTTCGCCCTCCTCCTGGACCATCACAGTCCAACGAGTGCAGGGCGACTGGTTTTATCCAGCAGAGTTTGAGACTCTCATCGCACCCTTGGCAGCCTTGGGCACTGTGAACTTGATGGGCATGGCGTGCCGCATCTCGCCTGTGTCGGCAGCAAGTAGGAAACCCCGAGATCAGAACGTAGCTGATTCGAAGAAGGGAAAGATCGTGGGTGGATATGATGAGGAATGGTGTGCTGAGCAAGACGTGCAACGATTCAAGTGTGCCATTTGCTTGCTGGTCGCCCGTGCTGCCATGGCGCATGAGTGTGGCTCCGACCTTTTTTGTGAGGGCTGCTGGGAGAAGTGCATGTCCAAGGACAACAAATGCCCAGTGTGTCGCAATGATGGCTCGACGATTGTCCCCGCACACTTCGAACGGCGCTCCATTGGCAACCTCAAGGTGATGTGTCCCAACAAGTGTGGACAGAGTTTCCCTTTGTACGAGAAGGCAGGGTGGCTTTGGAAGGTTCATTTGCACAAAACCTCTTTCATTCACATAACTCTTTCCATTTTCATTCCAGGGTCCTAGCTGTACTAGCCTTTGTGGGAAGGATCCACAGAAGAGCGAGACGAAAGAGTTGGGATTTACATCCAGCTCTGCTTGGGGTCACGCAACCTCAGACAGACAGGACGTCTTTCCCCCAAGTCCCATCCGAAATTGACTGCAGTGGGTTCTATCATAGATATTATATAATATATAATATATATATATATTTGATCAGATGTAGCACCAGTTACATGTACATGACATAGCTTGTATAGATGTATGTTTCACTGCAGCCGTTTGTGGTTTACTTTTGTGTTCATTTCACCGCCAGAGCTCAGTCAAGCGTGAGCTAAAAGTGTGCCTAAGCTTCAACTACAACCTTTGGGACTGTGACCCTAAGTCACTGAGTTTAAGAGCCTAAATTCTCCGTTCATGGTAGCGGAGCTGCGGTTCTAAGACCCGGCTACCGTCTGCGAATCGAAGGTCGCCGAGCCGCATCGGCTCTGGCACCGGAGATCCACAAAACAAGCATCACTTGCAGGAAAGCCGGATTGCTTCAATCCCTGGCTAGCAAGTCAGCATGGCGCAACAGCCAGGAACACAGGCACCACAAGCCACAGACATGGCACAACAATTTGCACAGATGATGCAAGCCCTAGCACAGGGGCAGAGCCAATTGCAACGAGCAATGGCAGAAGCATACACACAACAAACG